ATGTTTGTCCATTATTTGATCTTTATATGCCAGTCCAATTCATCAGGGATGCATTAGCCATCAAAACTTGCTAATTTTTCTTCTTAGATTCAGCAATAAAAGTGTTTCTTAATCAGTTTTGCTCATTTTTAATATAACTAAATGACACTTTCTAATGCATAATCAGATATTCTAAGAATAAATTTAAAAAAAAACTGATTACAAAAATCAAATTCTGAATTTAATTTACAAGTTGAGACATGTTTATTTTCAAAACTTGCTAATTAAAATTACTTTAAAATAGAGTAATTCTTAGTCATAAATACTGAAGATCTCAAGTGCCAATCTCCTACGATACGAAGGGCTATAACATTTTTTGAATTTGGTTAATGATCCATTACATCCACCTATCAATTCCAATTGACTGAAAAATTTAGCATCTTTAATTTAGATCATGCATATAATCAATGCTTATAGTACTAGAGAAAGATGATTGGAACACTTGGACTGTCGCAGGTCCCCTTCTAGGGCTCTAGCTCTACTTTTTGTGGAACTCATGCCAAGCTGAAGAGGACATGGGTTCAACAGCAAACAGGTATGGGATAGATTTTTCAGGTTAGGGATTGGATCGAGCATGGGACATATTCATTGGTGTCGCTGACTTAGTTCAAAGTTCCCCACAAGAACAATTAGGGTATTCATCAACTCATCATTCTTGTATGGATAACATGATGAGCGAAGGAGAATATATCCAACTTCAAAAGCACGTTAGCTTCTCGATTTAGCTCATGATTTACTCCTTGAAAGGAAGCAATAAAAATTGTTCTGTACGTAATCATTAGTTTCTCTTAAGAGTCAGCAAATAAATAAAGCAGTACTTGTGACTCGATCTATTAGTACTGTACTTACGAGTCAACTATCGAGTGCAAATTTAGACCCAAGTGCATGAAGTTAAGGCTGCAAATTTGCAACGCATCTAATAAGCAAACCATGAATTATATATGAAACCTTCTTTTTTTCCTGAACTGTCCCTTTTAACGTATTTTGTGTAGATCAGAACACGGAATTTAAGGCCAATACTTCCAAGAATGAAACTGTTCTATGTGGAGATCATGATCTAGATAGTACGATAAGGGAAGTTTTTCAAAGACAGGGTAGAAACAAGGCCACAATGGTGATTAGTATGGACGACGCTCACTTATCGGCAGATTTGTCAGTAAATACCTACCAATCAATTTTTACATTTGGCCAAAAAGTGGAGACTTCGGCCTTTGAGCATGTCGGGAATCAAAGCTTTTGTAGCCATAGATACTATGAATTTCAACTTTTTCTCAAGGCAGCCAGCTGTTGTAAGACCCTACAGCTTCAACAACTGCCCTTCCGATGACCGTTCAATTATGACAGTCATCGATCTTTATAAAAATCACGAGTGTTTGTCAAAATTCCCCATCAAAATCAATCTCAAGATTAGGAACAGAAAGTAGGTAGCAAATCTTGAAGCATGGAAAATGTGGGTTCGTGGATCCAACAAGATGCAGGTTTCTTTAGTGGATTTTCTATGCTGTGCTAATCCTTGTTATATCCTCTATACTTGTTGGGAATCCCCACCTTTTTTTTTGTTTATTCAAATTAATGCATCCCTTGAAGTCAGTGTCTTCTATATTTGCTGTAAAAATCAAAAAGTGAATGCTCGTGGTGCCATGTACAAAATTGACGGAAACTGAAAACAATATCAATTCGCCTAATTTGATCCAAATTTTTTCATTGACCAAAAACAAAAAAATAGGGGGAAATTGAATTTTTGCTACAAGTACAAGGGGCAAAATGATAATTATCTCTTAATTTTAGTATGGATGGTTATGTATATCTAGCTTATCATTTTTAGGGCTCGTTAATTTGGACTGGTGTTGTCGAATTGCTTTGAAAGACTTGACTTGCAAACCATTTTCATTCTTTCTATTTTAACAACACTTTCTACGCAAAAAGAAGGGGGAAAAAAAATCTTAAGAAGTGTAAATTTTAACTGCTTTTAGCTAAATTATTCGATAAAGCAGGCTCCATAAATCCAAGGGCACGAGCAGATGCCCTATCTAGTCATGTCTAAGAGAGGCATCACCAGACTTCTAACCTGTTATCTACCATTACAGTGGCTTTATATTTCTCCGAAGACTGCAGAAAAACCTCAATAATGAAATGCTTTTGTTAAAAAACAGCTGCAACAAAAACTTTATCTATTTAACTAAATAGCAAAGCAAAGGCCAAAGATCTTTCGGGCCGAAACTTTTTTTACTTTTTTTATAATTGATATTCAGATTGATTGATATATCAAATCATCCGGCGATCACATGGGCTTAAAGAAATTGATGCTGTGGGGATTACAATTTTCCAGAACGAGGGATGGAAAACCAAGTTTGAATAAGAGGTTTTAAAAGTTAAGAGAAAAAACAGACATGAAAAATTTTGTTTTCCACACAACTTCCCTTACTTTAAGGAGTAGGAAAGAGAGAGGTCTTTTTGATATGGAATAGCTCCAAGGGCCTACGAACACAGAATCTAGAATGGGTTCAAAACGAAGAAAAAGAGACAGAAAAAAACAATATTAAAAAGTAATGAAATAGGGAAAAGATTTGGTTAGGTGAGTGGGCTTATTAGACTGTTCACCCTTTAATGGTAGGCAACTTTTCTTCTTTACCTTTCTTTTCTATTTTTTTCTAAGTGCTGCCTAAAGGTTGATTTGAAAAGCAATGGACAGTAGAATCTTGCCTAAGACTTTGTTTCCATGTCTTTTTAGCATATGATAGTGTTAAATCCCAGAAAAAGTTTGGTTTCAAGAACTCGCAACAGCTTGGCCTATGAGCTGGTTGTAATAGACAAGAAAACTACTCCACTTGCCATTAAAAAAATAAATAAATAGATTGCATTCTTTGTTCATCCAAAAAAACAAGAAAGGAATGAAGTTCAACATCATTTGCAGAGTTGCAGCAAAAAATTTGGTCACCGGAAAAGGATTTAGCTTTTAATAGAACTGTGAAATGCATCTTAGAATGAGCCATCTCGATGAGGGACACCAGCTCCACTCCTTCAGGTTTTCACGAGCCAGGAAAAAAAAAAAATGCATAAACCAAAAAGGTCTCTGTTGCTCATGATTACAAAGCAGACTTTATTGACATAAAATTCATTCGTAAATATCTACTCTGATAATAACCCCGGACTTTTTTTAATTAGTCTATGAATGAATTTTATGACACTTCGGATGCCTTTAAGGTTTATAAAAGATGCGGATCTTTACAAAAACAGGATTGGCTTAAATAAAAAAGTAAACAAACTCGAATTCAAATCCTCATATGTATAAAAAATTCTTTAAATAATTATCTCTGTTTTATATGTTTGATAAAATAACGACAGATTAATTTAAATCTGTAAGCTTGGGCCTTGTATGCTTTAGAGGATGTAAAAAAACGATGCTAATAATCACATGGGATTGTCATTTTGTATGCTTAATGCTAAAATAAGCCCGAAAACAAGAGTGTATTGGTCAGAGCAAATCCAATTCAATTTTGCACTCCCTGGTCCCTAAGCTGAAGCTACCTCAGGTGGCAAGGAGGGCGGAAGCTGAAAAGGTGCAGTGCCTTTTCCCTTCAATTGGCAACAAATCCACTACATCCCCATTAACAAAGAAACACTGACCATTGTTCATCATATTGCCATGATTTGCCTGAGGCAATTGTCTCATACTCCTTTTAGTTTTGACTTTCAAAGTAATCAAAATATAATTTTGACAATCCTTTTTTTTTTTTTTTTGTATTAATTTGAAAACTCATAACAATTAAGTTTTAAAAAAGTTGAATATAATATTTTTCATGAGTTATTTTATTAATTTCTAAATTAAAAAAAAAAAAAGAGGTCAAGCTGCATTCTGTTGACTTTTCAAAGTCGTTTCTGGACTTTAGTTATGTTCCACAGAGAGTGCAAATTAGAGAACGTGCTAGGGTTACAAAACCAGGAATTCTTTTCCCATTCCTTCAGAACTCTTGGATGATAAAGCTAATATTACTCTGATCATAATGTGGTGAAGGGTGCTCAAGACCTTGCAGACAAGTAAGAAGGCCAGATAGCAGGCAGCGTGACATGGAAAGATACTACTATATTATCGGTGAAATAAGCACTGCACTCATGTTTCCCTCCTTCCTAGAGTTTTTTGTATAATCTTACAAATAGAAGTTTATCAGGAGCCCGAGATGTAACAAATAACAACACAATCATCAAGAAAACAGCCAAGTGAGCGTCCCTTATTTCGATTACTATTGAAGGTAAGAGATACTCATCAACCATAAACCAGGACAATCATAATAAAAGTTTCTGGGATATGCCACACAGCTAAACACTCGTGCCTTTATAGCATTAAACCCAACATGAAGTAAGATGAATGTTGAATCAGACTTGCAATATGATCTTACAAGTACTCACGAAAGGTTTCCAAAACAATTCAATAATGCCATAGGGTTCATGAGAGATCATCTAATTTTCCGGGAAACCTTAAGTTGGACGTATACAAAAAATAAAATCAGCAACCTTCCAACTCATCGATACAACTTGTTCCGTTCCAATTTTTCCAAAAAGTGAGAGCATATAACGAGATGGATAAAATTGAAAAGGGGCTGTGTACTTGCAGCATGTTTTTCTCTCTGATGACCAGTTTTGATGTTTTGACTAAAGTAAATATAAGGAAATCTCACGATTGCCAATTATGTTTGAGGGTCATGAACTGAAAACAAAATTGGCCTACAAATAAATAAATCTGGGCAACATGAGAAAGCAAAAATCTAGCAGCCAAACCAATTCTTAAACTGTTGTCTGAACCTAGACATGCAGGACATGCAGGCAGACCTTTGTAAGTTCTCTATGTTGTGAGCTTCATTTAGCAATTACACTGTTTGATATGGCAAACTTAAGGCCCCAATATGAATCATCAAGAAAACGAACCTTGCACAAGAAAACCACCCAAGACTGGACCATGAAGATTAGGTATTTTTCCTTTGTTCTGCATCACGGTTTCTCCAAGGGTTTAGAGCTTCTCTAATTGCCTGAGCTTCAGGAGAGCTCTCCCAAGCCCGCTTCTCTGACTCCAGAACAGTTACCTTATCATCTGCAAAAGAATACTAAGGAATTACTTGATAGAATGTAAGCCCTTGGCACAATGAAGCAGGACAACCCAATTATATGACACCAAACAGCATCGACAGGCACTGATGGTAATGGCAAAAAATTGGATAGATAGAGCTGAAATTATTATTCAAATTGACTAGAGTCTTCATCAAAATGTATGAATCAATCAGCTCACCATCTGTAAAATACACAGGCACCATTGCTATACATGGATAAAATTTGGAATTTTTAAACTAAAAAAACCACTGATGCCATTGTAGCATGGCAGATTAATTGGAACTCGATTCCTATATGTTCCCACCATCCCATTAAACTTAACTCCGTTGGTCATCAACTTTCAATGATCTCAGGAACTTTTAACACTTCTGATTATTTGGTGTAGCCCTGTCTTCCAAGAGTCAAAAAGCAACAAAGATACCCTCTGCACTTCTCTCTCTCTCAACATCTGTATTCTTTAACACCACTTCTAAGCATTGTTTTGGCTTCAAACAGAACTATGCATTTACAGTTGTGGCCAGAGTGGAGAATAAGGCCTTGCCAAGTAGGATTCCCACATCCATGTGCACTTTCATAGAGTACATATATACATGCAAGGATTTCTGTGTGTACAAGTGTTTCCATATCATGCAAAACAAAGTCGCTGAACAAGGCAGAAAGGTGAAACTTCCATAGCAATAGACAGTTTTCTTCAATGTTAGAAAAAGCAAAGTATTCCATGGCTACAGAGCTTATAATCATCAAATTAGACACGTTTCCAACTTGAAGATCAGTTAGTTATTTGACTTTTTTTTTTACTTTGAAAAACCATGAAGATCTTGTTAAAGGTGTTTTAAGTAAACCAAAGCAATGGGAAACATAAAATTCAAAATTTCATTTCCCATTCTTAATTTTTTCAGCAACCAAGCAGAGTGCACTAAAAAAAGTACTAGTATTTGTTACCTCCACATTGGTCACACAATACACAATGCCATCACGAATCCACTGATTTACAAGCTAAGGACTTGGCGATGGTAGTTAGATATTCTCACTCTCAACTAATTGTGTATGAAGAGGAAAATCAATTACATAAAACAACATTTTATTTTATTTAATTCCGAAAGCTCATATTTATGCCAAGAAAAAATCAATCACATTGTACATTTTATTTATTTCTACAAACTCAGATGACCAAAAAAGCATCACTCGTCTTCTAACAATAATAGCAAAAACAAAATCCAATACATATGCGCACAAATTACGACCCAGTGCCATTTAACATTACAGTTCAAAATAAAGGAGTTAAGTTCAAAAAACTAGAAATGTTAAAAGTGAAGCATAAAAAGAACAAAAAGGGTAAATACAATAAAAGTTAAAGGAAGAAAAGGATGGTTCTCACACAGAAGCCAGTCTTGATCATGAACAACTCCATAGAAGCTCCAATTAAAGCCCCACCAGCTGAAATTTTCACATACCAATCTAGAAACTTCATTTCCACTGCAAATTTTATTTAATCAGTTCAGCAATCAAAAGAATAGAAAGCAACGAACAAAAATTAAAGCAGGCACGAGTTCAAAGTGAAACTTCTTCAGTGAGTTTTTAGATTAAATAACCAGTACCGTGTGGTTGATTATACTTCGTGTAAATGTGAGCTTTTAGAAATTAAATAAAATGGCAAATTATGTAACTGATTTTTCTCCATTACCAATTCCTTAGCATGCAAATTAGTGATTTGGTCATGGCATTGCATGTTGGTTGATATATGCGGTTTGTATGTTTGAGAGTTGCCCTTGGATTTTTTTGCACTGTTTTGGAGGATCTTATCAATAATTCATATTCTACTCACGGATATATTATTTGAGCAAATCAGCAAAAACGACAAATTTGTAAGGTACATACCAATATATATCATGCATACCTAAGTTGTCAGAACTAAGCTTTAAACTTGTTGGATTAAACTTACTTCACTACCACATGACACTTTAAATTTAAATTTTGGTCGAGGAAATACCTTTCCACATGTACTAAATTGCATGCATGCTAAAAATCTAATTTGTATGATACATATACTTTCATTAGAAACTATACAAACTTGCTAAGCTGTCAAATCCAGATTCAAACACCAAAGATTGCGAGTCACAATGCACATCCGGAGAACCTTGAAAGTGCCTAAAATATGTTAAAACAAAGGGGACAAATTTTTAACAGATCTAATTTCGGTTGTAATTTCACAACACCCATAATCTACATTGCTTCTGATTCATTATCATTAAATACTAATCTGTAAATCTGTTCTAACTATTAGAAATCTAAATAAATGATTTTTAACTCCAGGGATTAAACTATCACTTTTCAAACAAGGGATCAAACTGTAATATATAAAACTTAGGGGATCGAAGTGAAATTTGTTCATCGTTTTCAATTCTCACCAGCAACTTCGTGTGTGCAATGTGCTAGATTTATAGCCAAAACCATCTCTTTTCGTCAATCTTACCGATCCTTGATGAAACTTAGCAACTTTAACATAAAATTAAACCTTAAAATCAATACATCAATCCTTTTAACTACAAGTTTTGTCAAAACCCTATCAATGTCCACTTTTCAGACCGATATTTACCAAATCAATTTCATAAATCTTAATCAAAATCAAACTTAGTATTTACCAAACTAACTTCAAAGAAAAACCCATTCACCATAAACCTCAAGCATCCCACATACATCAAAATCAACTCTTCCTTCGCCTTTATACTCAAGCCTCTAATTTCCAGCAAGTATATATACGATGGAGACATGAACTCAAAAGAAACCTCAAAAGTTTCAGAAATGAGGAAACTTACCAAGATGGTTCTTTATATTTGGCCTTTCTCAATCAATTTTCAGTAGCAAAATCAATGCCAAAAATCAAGAAAACAAAATTGATTTATGGAAGAAGCTAAGAAAGTCAGGGCAAAGTTAAGACCAAGAAAGAGCTACTACCGTGCGGGCTCCTTCCCCAACACTCCTAAACGACATGTAGTCCAGAAGCCACTCTGGCATAGAACGGACCCCTCTTTCAATTGAAAAGAAAAAGTTGAAAAAGTGAAGTGCCCTATCCAGATAGGTAGACACTGCCACGTAAGCTAAGAACTAGATAAATCCACACAAAACCAAAACGACTCGTCATCTTCTGTTTTCTGTTGTCTTGCGTTTTTGCTTGGGGGCGCTGTGAGTTAAAAAGCTAACAACTTTGGTTACATTTGCAAGAATTTCTTTCTTGCGCTCCTTTATTTTTGCCTCGCTTATCTGTTTTGATGTTTAAAGGACTTGCCTTTTATTGGGTTTGTTAGTTTTTTTGTGTCTTTCTGTGTGTTTGTCAAAAGAAATAGGCTTTGAAGATGGCTTCTGTTAATCTCTACAGTTCCTCCTTGGCCTCCTCTCGTTTACGGTGGGTAATCACTCTCTTATGTTAATGTTCTTTTTATGTAGGAAAGTTATAGGTGAGAAATTCATGCTTTATAGTTCATGTGCTAGAAAATTTGAACTATTTGTATAATGTCACTGCTGATTTGAGGATTTTAATGCTAATTGTGAAAATTATGCATTTTTTGGGGTGATTTGTGGAGTTGTTTTTATCAACCATTATACATATGTGACTAAATCACTTTTTTTGTTTCTCTTTGGACACCAGAGGCCACTACACTGGTCTTCATTATGTGTGTCCATTAACGGGAAGAGGGCACCTAACTGATCTGGGCTCTGGTAATTCTGCTAAAAAACTGTGCTTTAGTTTCAAACGAGATGGTAGAGGTAGAGCTAGGGCCTCTTTGGTATCTGGAGAAGGTGATGTGCTATCTTATCCCAATGGCAATACCGTTTCGGGACAGGATAAGTTTGTGAACCAATCAGCAGGGATTGAGTTACAACCTGATGCTATTAGTTTTGGAACATTATCAGCGGAGATAACTCCTACTGGTGGTGTATTCCCTGATAAAGATGAATATGACCTTGATCATCCTACGGAAGGATTTGCTTCAATCCCAGAGGCCATAGAGGATATTCGTCAAGGAAAGGTTCGTCCTCTTGATTGATATTTAATTTCTGGGGTCTAACAAGTATGTTTAGGTGTTAGATTATTGTTTCAAAGGATTTTATCTTACCAATGTGCGATGATCATTGCAGTTAGTAATTGTTGTTGATGATGAAGACAGAGAAAACGAGGGGGACCTTATAATGGCAGCATCAAAGGCAACACCAGAAGCTATGGCATTTATTGTCAAGCATGGGACTGGGATAGTGTGTGTGAGCATGAAAGCAGAAGATTTAGAAAGGCTGGAACTTCCTTTGATGGTGACTGACAAGGAGAATGAGGAAAAACTGTCCACTGCATTCACTGTATCAGTGGTACGTAACTAACTTTGCTTTTTATGTTATCTGATGGATATGGTCTGCCTGTTGTCATATGAAAAGGCTAGATCTTTTCAAGAAACTTTATCTTAGTTTGATTTATAAACAGCAGTTGTAAAGTGTATCTGATTTGTAATTAACATGTTTGAGGGGCGCCATTCCTTTTCCTCTTTGTTTCCCGTTTGTGTTTAATTACATAACTAGTTCATAGCCTCTCTCTTTTTTTTATCATCTATGATGTATAGATTGATTTCAATTGTAGAATCACAGGCACATGTCCCGTGGCTTGCTTCCTCACTTGAAATAGATAAACCTTGAAGTCCTAGGAATCATGTATAGGTTTTGGATTTGATGTGCACTTTGGCAGTCATTGTCATGATAATCAAATCGTGTCCATGGGCTTCCTGGCCATGTTATATTTCTTGCAAAAGTCTTTTTAGATTTTCAGAAGCAGCTGATTCTGCAAAGTGATTTAGATTTCTTTTGAAGGGTGCTGGGTGAACAAAAACAATGTGTTTAGGGATTGGAGTGGTGGTACTATGCAGATTTCTTTCCCTTTGGGTAGGAATAAATTACTTGTGATGATTAAATTTCATTTTTAAATGTTTGATGTATAGTTAATTGAAAGTTTTCTATAACATTTTGTAGGTTAGAGTACTTTAGAAATTGGTAGTGGAGGGTAGTATTGCATATGAGTAATACTAAAGAGTAAAGAAGAATTAGAGTGGTGTTACAGGATGAGAAGGAAATCTCAGTGGGATGATATATATGTGGCAGCTAAAGAGATGAGGAAGTAGGACATAAATAAGACTGCTTATGTGTATGGTAGATTGTCCTTATAGTAAGACAAAGGCAACGGTGGTAATAATTTTCCCTTGATAGGAAATTCTAGATGAGTGGCGTATTCCTGAAGGGGGATTTTGGTGTGACACTTCTTGATTGTCAGTCTGTGTCAGGGAGAAAACTTAGTAAATTGTGAGGTTAAAGAGAGAGATTGCAATCACAATTAGTAAGAAGATTTGGGTTTTGAGGAGGGCAGGGGGAGGGGGATTTGTTATGTAGCCATCGAACCAAAGTGTGATACAAAGTGGGTAATTTACAATTTATGTTGTGGAATGGTGAGGTAACGTGATCATGTGACCTAGAGAAAACAGGGGATACATTCAGGCTAAGAAAGGTCAAGCAGGTGGCAGACATGAAAAAATTAATTTATGGGTTTTTTTAATAATTTATAATTAATTCCATATGTGAATAAATTGACAATGGATATCATGACTAGCTCCAACTAGCAGCATACTTTAATTGTTGCCTTACTTTGAGCTATTTTTTCCCAATCCATAGAAAAAATTAAATAATAAAATGAGCTTAGCATGACCTTTGCATGATAATAGTACAAATGATCAAGATAAAATAATTGGGATTGGAAATGACAATTCATAACAGTTCAATATAAAAGGCAAACATGGGGGACAATAGATGTAGAAAGATGCACACATACAGTAGCTTAATCTCAGGCTTCTTTTTTCCCCTTTACCAGCTATACATGTTCAGCTTAGTCCTGATGAAGTTTGACTGAGAAAGTCTGGTTATATTCGGCAAAGAAAGTGGAGGGACTTGGTGAGAAAATGGCTTGACATTGTATGGGTTATGGGCCATCTATATCATATTTAGATAAGTAATTTCCTGTTTGGGCCCTATATTGTGTTATTGGGTTTTTCATCTAACAAGAAATCTTTTTCTTTGAGAATAGTTCTTGGTGGTTTTCAAATGTGGGGGTTTAATTTAACTAGTTATATGCATAAGTTATTAACATTTATCCGGGGAAACATTTAACTACCCGTGAACTCTTGATAGAGAATGATCTTGAATTCAGCTTCCCCTTCTCCTTTCTTTCTATTTTTCCTGTTTTTCATTTGTTTCTACGTAATTTGTAGGTTATGGAAATTTGTGAAGTTAGATAGCAGGCTGTATTTTTTGAGTTATGTTAGTTAACAGTACCCACAGCTGTACTGTCCTTTGTATTTGACCATCATTTCTGAGATTTTACCTGATTGTCAATTTTTGTAGGTGAAATGTGTATAATATTAATTGAAAGCTCATAGTTATTGGTTAGTGCCCATAACTATTGCTATATGACAGTTGGTTGGTTATATATTCTTAACCTAGTTGGAAGTTAAAGTCAATATTCTTAATCATTTTTTGACAAAAGAAGTTCTTGGTGCAATTTTTTTCCTAGAATCCAAAGGTTTTATTTGCTAATGTGCACCATTGCAACTATTGAGCAGTAGGTTGGTGTGAGTATGGTGTAGTGGGTAGCTGGAGTTGGAACATTTTGATTATAGTGATGTCTAGATGTAAATTACTTGCAGTGCTTATTTACTGGAATTATCCTCTTCAACTGATCACAGTGCATAAATATCAAATGAAGAAAAAGGTACTGGGCTAACAAGGTCAACTGGTGAAGAAGAAAAGCCAAAGTAGGAGTACAAATAGGATAGAGTTCTGCAGTCTGATCTCTCTAAGATACCCCCTTTCTGTCTGTGGGGTAGGGTTCCCACATCATCTCCCTAAATTTTGAAATTGTCAATTAAAATTTCTCTATTTACAAACTATCTGAATTCGGTGCTTCTGCAGTGGAGCAGTTCCGCTGAATTATAGCTTTCAGTAGCCTGAATTTTGCCTTCATGTTGCTTGAGCCACTAGTTTTTTTCTTTTCTTTCTTTACTTTGTCGTTCATTTTTTTAGGGTGTCTAAATCCTCAAAGTGGTCTTCCAGTTCTCTTGTGTGATTCTAAGAGAGTTTATCACACAAGCTATGAGGCTCTATCAATTGTGTAACTTTGGCTGTACCTGCTAATTGCTTTCTCTGTAATTAGCATAATCCTAGTTATATCTATAAATATTTAGCTTCTGCTACCAGTATCAACTTAATGTCAAACATTGTATGTTCTTTATTTCTAGGATGCAAAACGTGGCACTACAACAGGTGTCTCGGCTCATGATAGGGCAGCAACTGTACTGGCTCTTGCCTCTGAAGATTCAAAACCTGAAGATTTCAATCGACCAGGCCATATTTTCCCACTGAAATACAGGGAGGGTGGCGTTCTAAAAAGAGCTGGACACACAGAAGCCTCAGTTGATCTTGCAATGCTGGCTGGGTTGGAGCCTGTTGCTGTTTTATGTGAGGTAGTGGATGATGATGGTTCTATGGCCAGATTGCCAAGGCTTCGTCAATTCGCACATGCAGAAAATTTAAAAATCATCTCAATTGCTGATTTAATCAGGTTTATCTCCACATACTTGAAATTTCTTTTACCTCTTCTATTAGTTGTCACTTTGCTCCACATTTCCAAAAATCAGTGACTGGAATGGATGGTGCTTTGTGAATCCATATATCTTCAGAACAACCAACCTCTTTCTACAGAGGTTCAAATAAATATTTCTACTTGTTGTATTTGTTATCAAACTTTCCTCCACAAATCAAAAATTACTAGCATCGATGGTGCATTTGCCCTCAATATTTGGATTTTGTCAATTCATGTATATTCAGAACAACCAACCTCCTTTCAAAAACTGTTGTAATTTGTTCCTTATGGTTATTGATCTTCGGCATGACTTTTAAAAAGAATTAACTGAAATAATGAAAGCAGCAATTTTTCTGATGATATTTATATTTTTTAATTGACAGATATAGGAGAAAAAGAGATAGATTGGTGGAGCTGGCTGCTGCGACTCCAATACCCACAATGTGGGGGCCATTCAAAGCCCACTGTTATAGGTCGTTGCTGGATGGGATCGAGCATATTGCAATGGTTAAAGTAAGTTAATTCGTCCAAATTAGCTGTCATCTCTCTTCTTTGCATTTTGTGCAATGCTAATATCAAATGGTATTGTTCCAATTGCAGTAGTCATTTTATAGTATGAAATTTTTGTCATATCAACTGACTCAAGTTTCTAGATTTCTTCGAGTGTTCTTACACAGTTGTGAACTAAAATTCAAACATGAGAGGGATTAGAAAAACAAATTTCTTTGTTGGGATGGGGGGGATAGGCAGGTAGTTGCCTTTTATACTGTCTGTTATACATTATTGCTGACTTAGAGTGCATCTCATGCAATGCTTCATCTTAACCCAGCCAAGTTTCGGACTCAAAGAAGCATGCAAAAAGTCCACTGTATAGCGGGGCATGGTTTAGGAAATTATATCATGTTCCCACTGCTGATGAATTTCTCCCTTCAATTTGAAATCAAATTTCATGCAGATGGAACATCCAAAAAATTAAGTCTCTATTTCAAACTGCATGATATTGAATATTATCTTTAGCTGTTCAAAGCAGTATCATTTGTCTCCTTTAGGAGGGAAATCTTGCAAATGCTGTTGCTAGATGCAATTGATGTCGCCTTTCTTATCATCGTATGAGAGTAAATCTATCTAGTAGTATAACTAGACACACGATTGGCAAACAATGTCTCTCTTCTTCTATGTTTTTCATTCTTTTGGTAGAGATGGAGAATATTCTGGTGTGATGAGTAATGATGAATTCTGATATGCACAGGGTGAAATTGGGGATGGTAAAGATATTCTTGTGCGGGTACATTCTGAGTGCCTCACGGGCGACATTTTTGGATCAGCTAGATGCGATTGTGGGAACCAGCTAGCGCTTGCAATGAAGCAAATTGAGGCAGCTGGCAGGGGTGTTCTGGTGTATCTCCGTGGACATGAAGGTAGAGGAATTGGCTTGGGTCACAAGCTCCGTGCTTACAACCTACAAGATGATGGACGAGACACGGTTGAAGCCAACGAGGAGCTGGGTTTACCTGTTGATTCTCGTGAATATGGCATTGGTGCACAGGTACTATCTTCTTAATAATTTGATAACTTATTCTGATTTCCTCTGCTCTGTCTAGTCCTAGCCTTGTTTATCTCTTTTCTCAACTACGTAGTTAAATAAAATGTAGGGCACACAAGCCTCTAAGATTCAAGAATTGTGATCATTTCTAAGCTGATCTGACCAGAAAATTGCCCTTTCTCATTTTAATTATTATTTAGTGAGCATTGTTAGTTTTCTAAGTTGAGCTCACCATATTATTTGGCTAGCATTGATCGTCAGGCATTGCTTGTTGGATGATCAGAACAAAATCTTTATACCATGAATTGAAGATTGATCTGAGTTTCCTTCATTGGTATTATCCAGAAGATTAAGGATTTGTGCTAGTTAAGAGCATTTGAAGTTTATACTGCATTTGTGCGATTAGAAAGCTTCTTTACACTAATTTCTCTTATAGACTAGATGGTCCCTTTGAAACTAAGTTGTGCACTTCTTATAAGAGTTTTTTTTTTTGTTTTTTTTTTTGATATTTTATGAGAGTTCTGTTATTTTTGCATTCCTTCCTCTTCCTAGCTTTCACGGCATTAATTCCTCATTTTAGGTAGCTGAAATGTACGGTCCAATTTATTGCAGATATTAAGAGATCTGGGTGTTAGTACAATGAAACTGATGACAAATAATCCAGCAAAATATGTAGGGCTCAAAGGCTATGGTTTGGCAGTTGCAGGCAGGGTCCCCCTGTTGACGCCAATAACTATGGAGAACAAGAGATATTTGGAAACTAAGCGGAAAAAAATGGGGCACGTATATGGTTTGGATATTAATGGTCATTTAAATGGTCTTATCAGTGAGAGTAATTCAACCACTGACAGTCTGCCTGATGGTGTGTGAGGCATGAGTGCTTCCTGCAGGTCCCGTTCGAGGGAGTTTATGATAAGTTCTCAAGTATTTTTCCCATGAAGACTAAAGCATTTTTGCTCCCCTTGTGTTATTTACCTGTATTCCTTCGTTTTAGAAAGTAAATAATTATCAAATGATTTTTTTTTTTTTTTTTTTTTTGTTCCTTGTGGTGAAGTGAGAGGCTGAAGTTTGTGTTTCATGTTATTGAAATAAACAGAGAATTAAGTACTACGAGTTCCATTTGAGGCTATATCTATCTAGAGCCGTTCCATGAGCAATTATAATGTCATAGTCTAAAAATTTCTCATATTTTTTATTATTTTACTTGTTTCTTATTTTATTTTGTTTTGTTTTATCTTATTTTAAAATTCACAATAAAAACTATATAAAAAAAAAGAATATATATATATATATATATAATGCAAAAAAAAAAAAAATACAAAAAGAGGAAAAAATGACTTATCTGAACCCTAGAAATCTTCTACAAAAGCAATACTTTTCATTATTTTTAAGGGGCAGCTGGAGAAATGAGCCAAAACAAGAGCCTCCACTAGTCCTTTAAAAAAAAAAAAAAAAAACAAACAAACAAACCATAGTTGAAGAAGAAAAATCAAATTGGGTAGCTATCTCATCGTCCTTAAAAAAGGTGGTTGTCATGGTTTTTGAAAACATGTCATTTTCCTCTCTTTTCCAAGCCTTTATAAGCCACCATCCTTAAATACCCCTTGAAGAGCCTATCACAAACCAAGTCATCATCCTTTATGTCTCTAACCTCTCCCTCTCAAACATAGTCAGGATAACCATTAAGCCTGTAACCCACATATAGGCTCACACATCCTGTTAGCCATCTCTACTGCTCAACAAACCACCTCTAAACGAGTCTCTCAAAACTTCATAAGTCGGTATCCGAATACATTCAAACCTATCCAAACAATCACCTACAATCACAAACCACAAACTCCATACCCCTCTCATCCAATAGACTAGCACCATTTTTCCATCTCTATTGCTTCAACCTTCATTATGTTAGAGTATCACATAGCCCTTTTATAAGTAAGTTTGTTCAAGCTAGAAAACCGAGTATCTCACGAGCATGGCGAAGCATTTAGCATCCATATTCGGGATAGAGGGAGACATAGTGAATTGTCCATTCTACTTCAAGCTCGAAGCTTGCGGACATGGTGACCGATGCTTTAGACTCCACCAAAACTTCTCTTTATAGAAGAATTAAACCCAAACCTATAAACAACATCACAACCAACCTTTCCTTGTTGTTTGTTCACCTTTCATAACCCAATCCCCTTTCTTCATAACTCTATTACTACCATAAATCTATCCCAAGTACTCTACCATAGCAAACCCACCCTCCTCCATCCACATCAAACCAATAGACCCCTATGCCCATTATCCATCTCCAATAAACAACTCCATTAGTTCCTTCATTACTAGAAATCGATATCTCTCATAGGTAAAATCACAAACACATGGCATGCACACCTTATAAAACCAATAATCCTTCACACCTAAATACCCAATAAACCACCACTAGCATCGACCCTCTCTTTCATCAACACCCATTGGCCGATAACCATATAAACTCTCTCTACTTACCAAAACCCCGTTAGGAATTGGATTGAACCTAGCAGCACCGAACCCGTCGTGGGTGTTGATGAAGAGAAAGGGTGCATTGGCTTATCACTTTGGCCAAGAGAAGGGTCAAGGAAGGAGATGTTTATACCTATGAGGAGAGTTTAGAAAATCGAATAAAAAGAGAGGAAAAAGAAGTGTTTTGCATCTTAGTGAAGTTTTCGAAAGGAAAGGAAGAAAAAGAGAAGAAATCGGAGAAGACAAAAGGTAGTTTTTTTTTTTGTTTTATTTCATTTGGGATTGGTATAAAATGTTACAAGTTCCATTTTCTTATAAAAGGAATAAGGGCTGGACTTGTCCAACCCATGAAAAGTCCAACCCTCATATCTAAGGCTAGGTTAATTTCAACCCATCTCAAACCCCTCATAAAAGAAAAAAAAAAGAAAAAGAAAAAGAGGAGAAAAGTCGACTCGTCCGAGTAGGCTAGCCTATAAGGATTTGAAGCAACATAAAAGAAATTGATGCAGCAGAAATAATATCATAAAAAAATTACTTCAAAATGCCACGGGATCCATATGAAACAACATAGTCGGAGGATCAAATCATTACCTCTTGTAGCGCAGACCACATCTCTTTCATGAAGGATGCCCGAATCACGAGCACGCATTTATAAACTACAAATCTATCCACACAAATGTTTCAATCACCGAATAATTCTAGAATGGAGAGTCACCTCAAGTCGAAGTGCTAGCTATGAGTTATGATGTTTAAAGGCTGGATCATTCTTCTACTCGAGGTAACTAGGGTTTCCTCTCAAAGTTATTAAGGTTTCTATCTCTATAATTACTCGGAGTTTTCTATCTCACAGTTACACTTATATAAAATAAATATTACGTGCTCGGTTGTATTTCACAATAACTAGAACGTGTGTGAGACATAATCCACTAGGAAACTAATTTCCTAATCCTAAGGAGAGAAAAATATGGGCTAATTATTTTGAAAAATTAATGTCCAACGACCTTGGGCATAGACTTCATTAAGCTCATTTTATATGTCTTAATCGAACCAGCTCATTAGTATAATTAAATACTATAATCCGAACATGTCCTAATCTTACTAGGAATCTTAACCTAACTTGAAATCCTAATCCAATTAGGAATCTCAACTCGACTAGAAATCTTAATTCAATTAAGACTTCTAGTCATACTTCAATTTCAAGTCGCTCTTTATGTGTGACCCTCTCGTAGGTTCTTATTACATTGATAGTGATCATAAATAATGAGTGACATCTAGCAATGCATCACTACCGTCCAAGAAATAAGAATATCGATGATTCAACATAATCTTGTCTTTTACATATATTACCATGGAGTCTAATCCTTTTATCCTAAATGTCTAAATTGAACATGAGACATGGAATATGGTATCCTCATATAGTTTAATCTTAGTATTTCTTGATTCATGAGTTAACTCGCTCTAAACAAATGTGATCAATATCTCATATCGATTCATTTGAGCATGGCTATGCATTTCATAATCTCACGTAATCAAGGGGCTCATAAACATTACTCCCGTTATATAGGAAGGATGAATCCTATCTACGTCACTCACATCTCTTTACATGATTCATGGTATATCTAATAACCAACTTTATAGTCCACTCTATTACAAATGATGTTTGATGGTATGAAAATATACGATTGTTAATGTAAGGAATCGTAATGACTTCAAGTCGAAGGACCACATACACCATAGTCATAATGAGACCAACCACTTACGAGTACAGTCATAATGAGACCAACTTATGGAACTCATATAATGATCCACGTGCCGATCTCATGACCGATCGATCCGAGTACATGTTCTCCAACATGTACCCATGTGTCGACTTGATATCTCATATCCATAATACATTATTATCAATCAATGCACATGTCGGTCTCAATGTTTTCTTATCGTCCATTTAATATATCCACAATAAAATACTTGACTAGGAACATTAAGAATATTAATATTCTTGAGAGTTTATCATGTTCATTTAATAAATATGGGAATAAATAAACATAATAAATGGAATGCCATATATATATATATATATATATATATATATATATATATATATATATATGACAAATGTATGCTAGTATAATCAAATAATGATTGGTTTCTAGGGCACACACTAACATAGTCCAACGACTTAGGCCCAATAGGCCGAGGGCCCACTAATCAATAAAAAAAAACACAAAGCCCAAGTTTTATTTTGTGTGGATGAATTTTGGATTTTATTTTATACATGTGTTTTTATTTTCTATTTAATTTAAATTTAATATTTAAATTTCCTTTAATTTATTTAATTAATATAATTGTGAATTTTTATTTTAGTAATTAGAATAGGCGATTGATGAGTGGATGAATTGTCAAGTATCCTAATTTTTAGGGATCGATGACAACTTCCCATCGATAAAAAAACATAAAAAAATAAAGATGATAAACAAACAAAAAAAAAAGAACGCTAATAGTTAATTTAAATTTTATGATTTTGTTTCAAAATTAGTTTAGTAGTTAATAGGTGGGTGAATTATTGAGTCTCCTAATTCTTAGAGATTGATGATGATTTCTCATTAAAATATCAATGATTAGATTAATAAGTGGATGAATTATCGAGTTTCCTAATTCTTAGGGATCGATGACATTTCTCCCATCAAATCATAGGTCTTCAACATATAATAATCGGGATGTTTCCCGACATACCGGTTGTGTCGAGGCCTAAAGTAGATTCGATATTTGAATCGACATGTCACCGACAAAGAGAACCGTCGATCATTTCAATATAATGCCATGCCCAAAAATAAAAAACTTAATTTGACTTATAAAATTTAGAATTTAATTCGAAAATAACTTGACACAAATAAAAGACCTTTAGAAAATGAATTTAGGACTAAACTAGGCATGGTACCTTTCTTAAGAAAGGGTATTTTTGGGTGATCAATATCTTCTCAAAGCATAACCAACTCCTTACTTAAAAATCTCTACACCGGTGCTTATTTTTAGATTTCTAGTTCTTTTAATACAAGGTGATAACTCCAAACCTAATAATAACTTGCATCCCCAAAATAACTCATAAATGTGATACAAACCTAAAATTTTTTCAAGAGTCACGTCCGACGTCGGATAGCGATAAAATGACGACTCCACTAAGGATTTAGAGTTAGGGCATAGGTTTAGTCCGTTAAGTTTATCTCCTGTATTTATTTTTTTATCAATTATTTTTCAAGTAATTTATTTTTTATTTAATTTAAAGTTATTTATTTTATATATATTTTTTAAATCTTTTAATTTTTGTATAATGTATTTTTCTTACTTTTATAAACATATTTTATCATGAACTTGGATTGGATGCTTAT